AAGAGGCCTGCTCTCAGGTCTCTCTAGCCAGCTGTGCTGCTTTTTCTATGAACCACCAGCCCACATCATGTATATATCTTTCTGTGAGGTTGCTAGCTTTATATCGATTTCTTGGGACTCTTTATCTATGGAGAACCACAGTAAATATATGTTCAGGGACAGAGCAGCGCCACTTTAAAGTTGTCCCTGATGTGAAATCTTCTCGTGAAAATGTGAATATGCACGCCAGTCTCCTGGGCTTAGGGGAAACATAGGAAGTCCTTCCACCCTGACCTAAAGTCTTCAAGGGACTTATAAGGAAAAATTAGACCAGCTCAAAGCAAAATGGCAAGATGCACAGGATCTGTGAGGCTAGGTGTCCATGGAAAGGCCAGCCTGGCTTGCTGGCCACTTACCACGTGCCAAAGCTCTCCAGGTCATTCCAGGCTTCGAGTTCCCAAGCACCTGGCCCAGTTCAATGGCCCGTGGTGGCTTGTATAGGTAGTGGCAGGATACAGCCCCTCACTGGGCCTTGCCACCTCCCCAGCCCAAAGGCAAGCTGGGGGAAGTAGGTGGTCTGTGGTCCATCACTTCATAGGGGGTGATAAGGGCAGAGGACCCTCAGCACATTCCTGTGACGCCTGTGCTCCCGCCTGTCCCATTTGACAGCCAAGAAAATAGAGACCCGGAGACCTGGGAACATGCCTGAGTCACACAGCTGGCTGATAGCAGGGCAGGGTTCGGAATCCTCCCTTTGCCTCTCATACCAGATACCAGATGCCAGAGCTGCCAGAGCTTGGTGAGGTGAGGTCCATGGTACAGCCCAGGCAGGTGTACTGAGGCGCAGGTCTCACTGATCTGCGTCTCCTAACCTTTGGGTCCTGGCTCTACCCCCAGACACTCCACTCAAGGCCAGGCTTTCATTTTGTGCTCTATGGGATCCTGGTGATGAGGGCGACTTACTGGTGCTTGGACCTGCTAAGTCCAAGTCTTTTCCTGGAGGGAGGCTCCAAGGGGTCACACCAGCTGTTCTGACCCCCAGGTCCCTGTGTTGCACAGAGAAGGTGGCTCCCCTGCCCAGGCTGGAGGAGCCAGAGAGGCCAGAGGGCTGTGGAGGTGCAGAGAGGCATCTCAGCGTGCCTTCGCTGCAAGCAGGGCTCCAGGTACGGCTGCCAGGAGGCCCTCTGTAGAAGCAGGGAGTGAAGCCCAGCACCCAGGATGCAGCCGAGCCCTTTTCTCCCTAGGGAGAGGCCCCACGGGCATCACTGTCTAAGCACGGGGTGGTAGGGCTGGGAAGAGAAGCCAGGGCACCCCCACTTTCTGGCCTCTGCATCTTTCTGCCTTGCTCCTGTCCCCTCTCCCTGGGGTGCCCACTGCTGCAGTGTGAAGTTGATTCTGGAGGGTTTGACCTCTTTGTTCTCCAGGTCCTGGAGCTTGCACCAGGTGAGGGCAAGGTCACTCTTTGTTCATGCTGTGTCCTTCCACCCACAGGAAAGGGTCTAGGGGCTGACAAAGCCAGTGAGGGGTGGGTAGGATGAGCACTTGAGGGGTCCTTGGAGGCTTTTGTGGGGCATGACCTTAGCTGAGGCGACCCAGAGTCCCATCAGAGCATATCAGCAAGAGGGCACAGTGAGACCCCATTCCTGGAGGTGTCCTGGCAGTGGCTGTCCAATTGAGAGTAGCACTGGCTGGGAGCAGGGGAGATATGGGGCGGGCGGATTGGTGCTCTTTGAGGCACTTTGACTCTCGAGGTCCATGAACCAATGACATTCTGTTCATATTTTCAGGACTTGGGTCCATCATGGGGTCTTGGGAAACTGTCAGAGCAGATACTCAGCAGTCAGGGAGGATGGGCTGGAGGCAGCAGCTCCGGCTGCTCTGTGCTGGGGGAAGGAGACCTGTGAAGTAGGCATCCCCTCTACCTGGTGAGGAAAGGTAACTGGGCCAAGTTAGAGACTCAGGGTCCTCCTGAGCCTCTTTTCTTCCTTTCCTCTGTGGCCTTCAGGGGACGGCATACTCAGCCTCCCAGGCATGCCAGGTCTCGCAGCACTGACAGCTCAGAAAATGATGGTTCTGGACTCCAAATCCTGTGCATTATTGCTTCCTGTGGGTGGGAAACCTTTCCACCAAGCACCAGCTGTGTTCCTCCTATCACAGATGTGAGGTGCCACCCAGCCGCATCCAACATCTTTGGGACTCTGAGTACTCCGCATCCCCTCTGCCCCTGGTCGGCCCTCTCCCATTCCCAAGGCTCTCCAAAAGGACGCTGAGGTGTGAGGTTGGGGATCTCAGGTTGCCTGCAACTGCATGGATCTAGTACCAACTACATGCTCTGTGATTGGCAGCAGCCCTTTTACCCACTATGGTGCTTTGGGAGCTGGTGGGCAGTGGGGCTGAGGGGCCTTTTTCCTCCTGCTTTCTTGGGAAGACTGGTGCCCATATTCCTGGTCCTCACTTGTGGGCAGATGTTGGTCCCAGGGATAGGAAAGCAAGTTCCAGGGAGCCCGAGGCTGGGGAGGTAGCAGAGTGCTGGGCCAGTGGCGGGGGGGGGGGGGCACAGGCTGGGCAGCCCTGGGGGCTTCTTGAACCACTAAGGCCCGACTCTGGAGGTGAGGGCATTGTTCACTCCTGTTGTATCTGTATCTGGAGGATAAAGTGATGTATTGGGACCTCCAAACCATTTATTCACTGATGTATTCTTTCTATTGAAGCTTTCTGAGATGAAGCAGCAAAGGGGACTTGAGGGGTGATGGAGGGCCTCCTCTGAGGTGCTGGGGTCATGAAGGGTTTTATGCAGGACCTGAGAAGGATCAGATGTCCTTTCATTCTGGGTTGGGTTTTGGGTTTTTTTGAGGTGAAATTCATATTATATAAAACCACCATTTTAAAGCGAACAATTCGGTGGCATTTAACACGTTTACAATGTCGCACAACCGTCACTTCCGTCCCGTTCCAGCATACTTCATCACCCTGACGGGGACCCTGTCACCATTAACAGTCACTCCCCATTTCCCCTCCCCATCCCCTGACAACTCCTAATATGGTTTCTGTCTTTACAGATTTGCCCGTTCCAGACATTTTATATAAATGTGATCATATAACATGTGGCCTTTTGTGACTGGCTTCTCTTACTGAGCATCATGTTTTTCATGTTCATCAATGTTGTTGTGTGAATCAGCTTCATTCCTTCTTAAGGCTGAGTAATATTCTAGTGTGTACACATACCACATTCTGTTTATCTACTCATCCGTTGATTGGCATTTGGGTTGTTTCCATCACTCCGTTTTAAAACTTAAAAAAAAATTCTAGCCCTGGCTGGTGTGGCTCAGTGGATTGAATGCTGGCCTGCAAACTAAAAGGTCACCAATTTGATTCCCAGTCAGGGCACATGCCTGGGTTGCAGGCCAGGTCCCCAGTTGGGGGCGTGTAAGAGGCAACCAATTGATGTATCTCTCGCACATTGATGTTTCTCTCCCTCTCTTTCTCCCTCCCTCCTCCTCTCTCTAAAAAGAAATTTAAAAACCTTTAAAAAAATCTAAAACGATCTTTCTCTCCTTAGTCTTCATTTAGAGGTACAGGAATCTCTGCTTCCCTTGTCTCCATCCCCTCAGCAAGCTGCCTCCATAGGTAAACCCATCTTCTTACAGAAATATTCTTGGTTTTTGTGGCTTCCCCACAATTTGCTGTTTCCCCCACATTGGCCAGGAGGTGACAGGAAGACCCCATGCAGCCTGCTGCTTCCAGGGACAGATTCAGATTCTGCTGTATCCTCTTAACAGCTCTGGACAAGCTGCTGGGGCTATGGACAAGCTGCTCAGCCTGTTCCTGTCCTTGGAAGGAGGGACCCGTGGACCTTTCCCCTTGACTAGGCAGCCACAGAGCACAGCCCAAAGCCAAATTCTTCTGAAAACTGCCCGGTGACTTTGTGGTCATGTGATTACCCTCTTCCAGGGCACTTGGAACAAGAGGCACACTGGGCAGGTGTCGGAGTGGCTGGGCCTTGGAGGCTGGGCCTTCCTGGAGGTGGCACACCCTCCCCCACAGTGAGAGGCACCCCTGTCCCTAGAGCCCAGTGCTGGGAAGCTGCAGGTCGAGTTCCTCCTCCACACTCATGCTGGGGCTCTGTGCCAGCACCTTAACCCCACTTGCCCTCTGCAGAGGAGAGATGGGTTTCCCCGTGGGGGTTTGCTGGGGCATGGGGGACACTGGGGATGTGGAGAGTGCAGCACTCAGGCGGCACATCTAGAATAAAATATAATGGGGTAGAGTTTTTAAAAGGAGAGGGCTGGGCGCAATCTAAATGTCCATAGATAGTTGAAAGGATAAAGAAATTGTGCATTCACACATTTACATAGTAGAATATTACTCAGCCATAAAAAGTGAACACTGATGCACACTACAATGCAGATGAACCTTGAAAACATGATACTGAGTGAGAAAAACCAGACACAAAAGCCATAAAAGGCCACTTGTTGTCTGATTCCATTTATATGAAATGCCCAGAAAGGCAAATTCATAGTGCCAGAAAGTGGATTAATGGTTGCCAGAGGATGGGAGAGGGGGGCAGGGGGAATGGCGGGGGGTCGGGGGGGACTGCTAATGGAGATGGGGTTTGTTTCCAGGATGATGGAAATGTTCTGGAATTATATCAAGGTGGTGGTTGCACAACATTGTGAATGTACTAAATGCCACTGATTGTACACATTAAATGGTGAACTTTATATTATGTGAATCTCACCTCAATTTTTTAAAAGACAGACATGTGGTCTCCTTAGGTCCTGTATGAAATCCTGCCATTATCACAGGCAGCAAATGGCACCCACTGCCAAGGCTAGTCAGTGGACAGGTGGCAGACATGGTCAAGACCCAAGTTTTGTTTCTGCTTTGCTGGGTCTGGTTCTGGTGATTTTGCCTGTGCCTGGGGCAGCTTCAGAGCCTGGGCAAGCTGCCCAGGGTCCCTGGGCTAAGACCGGCCTGCCCTGAGACCTCTGAGCCTCGAACCCCACCCTGCTCTCCCACAGCATGGCCGATAAGAACGGAGCCCTCAAGTGCACCTTCTCAGCGCCCGGCCATAGCACCAGCCTCCTACAGGGCCTGGCCACACTTCGCTCACAGGGCCAGCTCCTGGACGTCGTGCTCACAGTCAACAGAGAGACCTTCCATGCGCACAAGGTGGTCCTGGCTGCCTGCAGTGACTACTTCAGGTTAGCACAGGCTCAGGGTATGGGCTGGAGAGTGCAGGCTCTTCTGAGAGGGGCAAGTTCAGCACCAGCCAGGGAGGGATGGCTGTGAGGGAAGATGGCTGGTGTTGGCCCAATGTCCAGTAGGCCTACTGCTTTTCCCAGATTTGCAACTTACTTAAAATTTTTTGGGGACATTGTATAGGCAAGAACATACTTGGGGGAAGAGGTGGCCCATGGGCACCCAATTAGTTTTTGCCCTGAAAGATGGCAGAGTTTGGCCAGGTTTCCACTCTCTTTATTTGATACCTGTGTATGCCAGGTGCTGTGCTGGCCTCGGATCCAGCAGGGAGAAGACTGACACAAGTCCCTGCCCTTGTGATACCTATACTCAGGCTGAGGGAAAGCAGGGACTACCCAGCGGTGGCCCCAGAGTGTGCGAGGTTCTGTTCCAGTCCCCACGTGACAGGCAAGGGCTTGCTGGTGCATGGATCAGTCTACTGTGAAGGCCCTTTCCTGAAAGTGCCCTTCTGGGCATAGTTCTCTGGCCCTACTTCGCCAACATTGGCTGAGGCGCCCTGCCACCAACTCACAGAGCCCCCGCCCAGGTGTGCACCATAGGCTGTGTGCTCCCCTGCCCAGTGTGCCCTCCGACTGCCTGCTCTGTGGGCTCAATGAGGCCCTTCTGGGGAGCTAGAGAAGCCAAGCCATCTGGGGCGCTGCTTCTATTTTTATTCTGGATTTGGGGACGGGCGAGCCGCCCCAGCCAGAAATGCCCTTTAAAGGCTCCTTTGCGCTGGTACTGCAGCTAGCGAGGCCTTAAAAGGCAAAGCTCCCTCTCGTCGCCATGACTGCTTCTGCCTTCGACAGGCTGATGGGACTCACAGGGACAAGAAGGGGCAGGGCCCTGGGGCTGGCAAAGCGCTGCTCTTGGAAGGGCTACGGCACTGACTCGTGGAGTGCTGGGCAGTTGTTAGTTGATGGCCCTAAGGCAGCATCAAGCTCAGCTGTCCCCACTCTGGGCCTGAGCCTGGCCCATACTAAGGGTGCTGACGGCCATCACAGTAACGATGAAAGGCTAGCTTGCCCCGTGAAAGGAGCCTCCCATGCACCATCTTCTAGAACCTCCCATGAACTCCTAGCAGGCATTGGGATTCTCACCCCTCTTCCTGGCGGAGGTCCCCCGACAAAGTCTGTGGGGGTCTCTGACCTAGGTCCTATGTTTCAGAGCAGAACAGCACAGCTGACGGACGTGGGGCCAACTCACTAAAGGGTCTCACAGTGGGCTAGGACCACTCTAAGGGGCTTCCCTGACTATCTGGGCCTTTCTCTGGACACATCAGTGACCCCAGTGGGGTCCTTTAATAGGCGTTCCAACCTGGGACCCCCTACTCCCTTCCTTTTCCTGTGTGGTAGCAGCTAAGACTCAGGCAGGGGAAGATGGAGCCACCTGTTCAGGTGAGTGTGCTGGGGAGGGGCTGGACTCTGTGAACCATGGTGTGTGTTCCCCTGATGTACCCCTGTTGTATTTCCTGACCTCACTGAGGGACTGGTCCTCATGGCCGGGCACCAAGGTAGAGTTGGAGACTTCTCCCAAGAGCCAAGGCTAAGGTTTGGCCTCCTCTTGCACAGTCCCACCCACCCTGCCATGAGCAGAGGATGGAGGGGGACCTGGCCCCCACCCTCCAAATGAGCCCGCCCTAATTCTGCGCACATCTCAGTAGGGTTAGGCAGTGCCTCACAACGGGGGCAGAGTACAGAGTTGCTGTCCGTAGGAAGCTGCATGGCTTGGAGTAGATTAAACTTTTTTCTTTTCTTTTTACGTGTCTTTAATGTACACCTGGCCTGCTTTCCCCTGGCGGGCCAAGCCTGTGCCTCGGAACCATGCCATCCCAGTGACCACAATGCCCCTCGGTGCCCTGAACCCACATGCTGTGTTTCCAACCCTCAGGGCCATGTTCACAGGTGGCATGAGGGAGGCAAGCCAGGACATCATTGAGCTGAAGGGCTTGTCAGCACGCGGCCTGCGACACATCATTGACTTTGCCTACAGCGCCGAGGTGACACTGGACCTGGACTGTGTGCAGGACGTGCTGGGTGCGGCTGTGTTCCTGCAGATGCTGCCAGTGGTGGAGCTGTGCGAGGAGTTCCTCAAGGCCGCCATGAGTGTGGAGACCTGCCTGCATATCGGCCACATGGCCACCACCTTCAGCCTGGCCTCACTCAAAGAGTCTGTGGATGCCTTCACCTTCCAGCACTTCCTGCAGATTGCTGCCGAGGAGGACTTCCTGCAGCTGCCGCTGGAGCGCCTTGTCTTCTTCCTGCAGAGCAACCGGCTACAGAACTGCGCTGAGATTGACTTGTTCCGTGCTGCTGTCCGCTGGCTGCAGCATGATCCTGCCCGGCGGCCGCGCGCCAGCCACGTGCTCTGCCATATCCGTTTCCCACTCATGCACTCGTCTGACCTGGTGGACAGTGTGCAGACACTGGACCTCATGGTGGAGGACGTGCTGTGCCGTCAGTACCTGCTAGAGGCCTTCAACTACCAGGTGCTGCCCTTCCGGCAGCACGAGATGCAGTCCCCACGCACAGTTGTGCGCTCTGACGTGCCCTCCCTGGTGGCCTTTGGTGGCACACCCTACACTGACAGCGACCACGCTGTCAGCAGCAAAGTATACCAGCTGCCTGAGCCAGGAGCCCGCCACTTCTGCGAGCTTACAGAGATGGAGGTGGGCTGCAGCCACACATGCGTGGCTGTGCTGGACAACTTTGTGTACGTGGCTGGTGGTCAGCACCTGCAGTACCGCAGTGGTGAGGGTGCAGTGGATACCTGCTACCGCTATGACCCGCACCTGAACCAGTGGTTGCGTCTGCAGGCTATGCAGGAGAGCCGCATCCAGTTCCAGCTGAATGCGCTGTGCGGCATGGTCTATGCCACGGGTGGTCGCAACCGAGCAGGCAGCCTGGCCTCAGTTGAAAGATACTGCCCGAGGCGCAACGAGTGGGGCTATGCCTGCTCACTGAAGCGCCGCACCTGGGGCCATGCAGGTGCCTCAGCTGGGGGCCGCCTTTATATCTCAGGTGGTTATGGCATCTCGGTAGAGGACAAGAAGGCACTGCACTGCTATGATCCTGCGGCCGACCAGTGGGAGTTCAAGGCACCCATGAGTGAGCCCCGAGTGCTGCACGCTATGGTGGGTGCTGGTGGCCGCATCTATGCCCTGGGTGGCCGCATGGACCATGTGGACCGCTGCTTTGATGTGCTGGCTGTGGAGTACTATGTGCCCGAGACAGACCAGTGGACCAGCGTGAGCCCCATGAGGGCTGGCCAGTCAGAGGCTGGTTGCTGCCTGTTGGACAGGAAAATCTACGTCGTTGGGGGCTATAATTGGCGCCTCAACAATGTGACTGGCATTGTGCAGGTGTACAACACTGAGACGGACGAGTGGGAGCGTGACCTGCACTTCCCTGAGTCCTTTGCAGGCATTGCCTGCGCCTCGGTTTTGCTGCCCCGCGCAGGGAGCAGGAGGTAGCTCTCAGGATCCCCACTCCTGCCATGACCTGGCTGCATGCTGTTCTTGCCAGAGGCTTGGTGAGCACATGTTCTATGGAGAACCTCATGCCCCCACCCCCAAGTACCCCCTACTCCCACCCTGGGCTGGTCTTATAGGCCCTCCATGTTGATAAACCTCCTTCCTAGGGTCCTTCCTTCCTGAAGCAGATCTCGGCTCTGCGCCTGCCAAGGGAGCCTGCCAGTGAGGAGGCCTACGTGTTAGGGCGGAAAACTTGAGCCTGAGGCAATTTTCTCGTCTGCACAGGGTCCTCACTCACGAGCGGGAATCAGGAATCAGGAGTGTTGCTGTGCCCTGCTTCTCTCCCAGCCCTCAGCCTGGCAGTCTCATACGTTCAGATGAGGGCTCATTAGTGTCATTCTAAATTTGTGGTATGCCACTCTCCCCCTCCTAATTTTCTTGCACTTGTGTGTTTTAAAATACTGCACACCACATCTCTGTCATTTGGACCCCTTGGAACAGGAGGGGTTTGGAAGCACCCAGCTTGGAGTGATGACCAAGGGTAGTTCTGTCTCCCCAGTAAGCCCAGGCTGTTGAGTGGGAGGGAGGCCATGGAGGAGGTTCAGCAATTGCCCTTACTCCTGTCCTTGGTCCAAGAACCTCAGGGTTTTTGCTCATCCCACAGATGGTTCTTACGGGTTCAGGCCTTCCACTGGGTACTGGACCATGTGGAGGGCCCTGAAGAGAATTGGGCTAATGTCCCTGTCCCATGGATGGAGGAGGACGCTGCTTTAGAACTCAGTGCATCTGCATTCCACAGGTGTGTTCAAGGATTTTTATTTCGACCACTCTACAGCCCTGTACTCCCCTTGGTCCTGTGTTCAGGTCAAAGTGCCACCTGGCCCAAGGCTACCAGTGCAGGAAGTCAGACAGATGGGAACCTTTCTTTTCAAGGGCTTCATAGCATTTCTGGCCACATTTGTTGTAGTCTCCAAACCTTTTTTTTTTGTCGTTCCATTTTGCCTTTTTTTTTTTTTTAAGAGGCCACCACCGCTGTCTTATAAATGGGATTTGTACCCTTGGGGCAACTTAAAGTGTCTCTGTGCTGCTAACAGACGATTGATGTCATGTCTCTGTGACCCACTCGCTGTGTAAAGAATTAACCTCATACCTTAGCAGACGTCATCTCCTAATATTTTCCTTGTATTTAATAAAAATGTTGTGAAAAAATGGAGCAAGCCCAGCGCTGAGCTTGTGGAGCCTGATAGGTCACAGATTCCTCCTGTCCTCTGTATTTAGGGGGCCCTCTCCCACTTTGCCCTTTCCAATACTTGCAGAGGAGCTGGAAGGGGGGCCAGTCTTTAGCTCAGGGGTGTGAGTGAGGGCAGTGGGAAGTGGAGCTGGGACTACTCTTCAGTGCTGGGAAGACAGATGGCAAACCTGGTGGCCTCCCATGACTCTTGAGGCTGTTCCATGTGCCTGGTGGTCTGGCCCCCTGCGCCCAGCCAGCCCCCAGCCTTAGCAGGTTCCGTCTCCATCTGCTCAGTCCTGGGATGCAAGATCGTGCGGCTCTGGAGCCCTTCTACCCAGAGACTGCAAGGTAAAGAAGAAAGGGCAGGCCTAAACAAAGCATGAAGCATGGTGTGGCTCAGTTGGCTGGGCGTCATCCCACAAATTGAAAGTTTACTGATTCGATCCCCAGCCAAGGCACATGTCTAGGTTGTGGGTTTGGTCCCTGATCGGGTTGGGGTGCATATGAGAAGCAACCCATCGGTGTTTCTCTCCCTCTCCCCCTGCCTTCCTCTCTCTCTAAAAATAAATCAATAATTAAAAAAAGAAAAAGCATGAAATTATCACGCTTCCATAGGGGCTGAAGAGCTCCATGAATTGCCCCTGGTTCCCGCTTTTGTGGCAGCCTCACTGTGAACCGGGCTGCACATTAGTAGAGAATGCCTGCTGTCATTGTACGGCCTTCTGAGAGGGAAGGGTCACCCTCAAAAAAATACCATATGCCTGGTACTCCTGTCCAGCAGCCATGGGGCCCCTGGGGTGAGGCTGAGTTGGGAGGCAGTGCTAAACAGGAATTTGGTTGGGAACCAGGAAGGAGCCCACGCTGCCAGGGGCATTGAAAGGAAAACAGTGGCCCTTGGGGACTTACCAGAACAGTTCAGCTCCTTCTCATTGCTCTAACCTGAGCTCCCCCAAGAGACCCCTTTTCTGCTGGAGACACAGCCCCTTCAGGGGGGCAGTGAGAAGCCTTTGCCAGCTGCAAGTTCCCCCAGATCAGCTCACACCTCAGAACATCTTGTCCCCAATGAGCTGGCAGGGGTGCCGGCGCAGGGTGGAGGGGGTGCTGCTGTATCTAACTGGTTGATTGTGCGTAACCGTCTGGGCTGGTCCATGGAATGTTCTCGGGGGCCCCCTACCCCTCCTTCTCCACCCACCCCCCTGGAAGAAAGGAAAATTATTTTTTGTATTGTAAACTTTAAACACGAAAAAGCTGTTTTTAATTTAGCAGAAACTGGCTTGAAACTTTACTTTGTGAACGTTTGTGTCCTTCAGAGAAAGGCAGAACATGCGTACACACACAGAGGCTTGCACACACATACGCATGCTCATACTCAGGCATACCTGCACACATGTGCTTGCTCATCCGCAGTTGAACAAACAGCTTGCACACACGCCCCTGGCCCAGTCTGGCCGTTTCTGTGTGGCACCCTGAAGGGGTCTGCAGCTCATCACCTTATCACTTCCCTTCACCTTTCACCCAGGGCAGCATTCACTGTGTGTGGGGACCGAGCTTGGGGAAAGCCCATCTCCTTCCAGATGGCCTGCTTCCCCACCGCGGCCCTGGACTCGGCTGCCGGAGCCTCCCACTGCACCTGGGCCGGGGCTGTGGGAAAACGCTGTCTCTGGGGACAGTGGGATGCAGGCTCGTGAGAGGGAGGCCAAGTGTGACTTCTGGGGCCTCGCGGCAAACAAGGGCCAAAGGGGCCTTGGGGGAGCTGTGTGAGGTGGGAATCTGCCCCAGACCTGGCCAGTTTGGAAATCTGCCCCTGGCTTTGTGTCCTGGAATGCAGCTACAGCTCCTCTGTTCTCACGGGCCCTGGAGATTTCGCTTCTCATGGTGGAGCCTCCAAGCGCGCGTTTTATTAGGGGCACCTGGCTGTGTGTCCCAGGAGGCACTGCCAGGAATGTTTATTACACAAATGAGATGTTGGGTGGGAAGGTGGGAGCAGAGCCTCATCCACTCTAGCATCTGTGGGTGCCATCCACAGACCCCAAAGGGCATGTGGTCCATGAGTCCATGCTTCCCCACAATAAGACCCCAGCCTAATTCTTGTGGCTGACCCTGCTGTTGTCAGCCTGGCAGCCATTTCTCCCTCCTCACCCACAGAACCCTGATTTGGTGCCAGCAGCAGTGTGCCCAGCCTCGGGTGGGGGTTAATTTAGGACTTGGCTCAGATTTTCTTAGTAATGCCTTTTGCAGGGGTTGTTTTCAGTCTGGGCAAACTTCCCAGCTCTGGGCAGCAAGCTTTAAGGGAAGGTCTAGGGTGGGAGTTTCTGGTCACGGGAGAAGGCTTATTGCCCCCATCCATCCGTTAATGCTTTCTATGAGGACATAGGATGCCAGGAGCTTTTGCAGCCATCTTGTGGTCATGAGGAGCATTAAGAGAGGAACAGAGATGCCGCCTTCCAGACCCCTGAAATGAGGCCCCTAGTCCCACACTGGAAACTCTGACCTCCAGACTCCTTTTTATGAGAAATCACAATGTCTGTGCTGCTTAAGATACTTAGTATCTTAAAATACTAGTGGTCAGCTATTCTAATATTTGCAACCCAGGCACTTACAAAATTACAGTATAATGTAATGGATTTTGGGGTTTCCCAATCTTATGTACATCAGGGTTTTTATTTGCAAATAACAGAAAGTGACCTGGCTGATTTCAATAGCAAAAACATACATTGGAGGGCTGCTGTGTTGCTCACAGAAGTGGCAGTAAGGTAGGAAAACCAGGCGCAGAAGATAGTACGAATCAAGGTGGCCAGGCAGCTGGGATGATCAGCTGAAGTCAGGTCAGGGAACTGATTGGTGAGGACGCTTGTGCCACCATGACAGAATTCAGATGTCTCAAATGGCAATGCCATCTACCCTTGGCACTCAGCCATAGCTGACCCTGGAAACTGGATGCTTCTGCCCTGATTTGTTTCTTTGTATCACTTGTTCCTGAATAGAGACATTCTATTGACCTACCCATGTCCTGTGCCAACCTAGCTTCCTGGGTCCCTGGAAAAGTGAGTACATGAGTGTGCAAGTCAGCTGCTGCCACCTTGTAACAAACAACCCAAGTCTCAATGGCATACAAAAATAGATGGGTGTTTTTCATGTATCTGTGACTCAGCTGGGGATGCCTATTCCATGCTGCTCTCAGCTGGGCAGCTCTCTTCCAGGTGCAAGGCTGGGGAGTAGCAGGGTGGGGTGGGGTAGAGGGGTGCTCAGCCCTACCTGTTTTCATCTTGGGACTAGCAGTCAGCCAAAATAATGTTCTCCTCCCACAATGGTGTCCGAGGACAAATGGAGTCACATGAGGCCTTCCGAGGTCCTGGTTTGGAACTTGTATATGATTTTTGCCCATATGCTGTTGGCCAAAGCAAGTGACATGGCCAAGCCCAAAATCAGGGCTAGGAAACAATTCTTACAAAGGAATGATGCATAATGGTGACATAAAAGGTAGGAAACAGGAACAGACAGGGAAGTGAGGCCCACAGTTTGATCCAATCACACTGTTGGCTCTGGGGCTTTTGTTGTCAATTAGGGGCTGACTTCCTATGGTGGGGACTCCCCAGACTTGGATGGGGACTCAGATGCTGGGCCACCAAAAAGAAAAGTCCATTGGGTCACCAAAAGAAAAGCCAGTGAGTAGTCTCTGAACGTTGGAAATCCTCTTTTGTCACATAGGTTGTGATTGTAAGTGTCCTGCTGGGCTTTTGGATAGTGGGCAGAGGGTCTACGTGGGGGAGTTCAGCTGCAGCTCAGCCAAGTATAGGCATTGTGTTGTCACTGGATGTTCCCTCCGCATGGTGGTTGCAGGGGAGGAACTGGACTGCTTGCTCTGCCTTGGTCCTGACATCTCCTACAGCAGCAGTTCCCAACCTTTTTGGCGCTAGGGACCAGTTTCTTGGAAGATGATTTTTCCACGGATGTTGGCGGTGGGGGGTGGTTTGAGGATGATATAGGCATATTACATTCAAGCTCACTGGCCCAGCCTGGAGGTTGGGGACTCGTGCCCTGGAGCCATCCCTTGGGTCCCTGCCTCCCTCAGCTCCAGCCTCTTGCTACTCTCCTTGGTAGCCCTGCCCCGTCTCACCCTCAACCCTACACTCATCCCAGAGTGGGGGGCCCAGGTACCTGCGTCCTCATGTAACCTCTTCCTGTTCAGTTGTAAGGAGTGAGCACTCTGGCATTTCTGGCCTCTGTTGACTGTTTCTCCCTTTTTGCATCATAATCAAACCTGGCTCTGGCTTTGCTTTCAAAACTCTGATGAAGGTCTGGTTTGGAAGTCAAAGACAGGCCCTGGATGACTTTATTCTTTGCCTTCTGAGTCTGATGGCCCAAAATCACCTCCATGCAATGTGGGTACCCCAGATCGACTAAAATTCCATATAAGGCAGTGCAGAGAAGCAAGGCATGAAAACTCACATCCCGAGATAGTGTTTGCTTCCCCTAATAGTGAGTGCTGGCAAGGAAGCAGGCGCTAAGCTAAGTGCTTTACTCACATTATCTATTTAATCTTCCCAAGAACCTGCCATGAGGAGTGCCACTGTTCCCATTTAACATGGGAGGACAGCAAGGTTCAGAGAGGTGAAGTCACTCTCCTATTGTCACACAGCTGGAGAATCAGCAAGGTCTGGGACAGGCAGAAACACTGAGCGGTTTAGGTTTTTATTTAGCTTGTATTTAGAAGCTTTATGTTGAGGAGTGTTAGAGCCTAGATGCAGGGAAAGGGCATTCTAGACAGCCTGAGCAAAGGCCCTGAGGCAGGATGCAGCAAGGCTGGAGTGGAGGACATGAGAAAGGGAAGGGTGGACAATGATGCTGGGGAGACTGGCAAGGAATGAATGGAGCCAGGCAGATCTATGGAGCAGATGAGAGAAAAGTAAATCCTGAAGGCAGCAGGAAGTGGCTTATAAAGACTCACCTCTTGGCTTACACTTGGATGTGCTCTGTAACTGAAGTGTAGCTATTCAATAATTGGACACTCCCAGCCTCTTCCGGTCAGGACTGGCTGGAGAAGGACCCAGGGCTGGGTGAGCCTAGGGTGAGGAACACAGTTCTCCTTAGTGGTCCGGATAGGTTTTCTGGAGGAGGGATGAATACGAGTTTCCCAGGCAGAAAATGATTCATTTAACGGACACTTCCTAATTACTTTGTGCCTAGTCTTGTGTTAGTTCTGGGGACCCAGGAAACAGAATGAACAGACAAGTATAGTGTGAGGCCTAGTGCTCAGAGCCTTCAAGAGGTAGAGAATAAGCCTTAAGAGTAGGGAATTGGGTATGTCTGTGGACTTTATGCATCACATAGGGAACTCTAGCCTTGTAGTGTTTGGGAAGGGTGAATACACTTTCAGTTTTTGATCTCAGCTCAGGGGAGCAGACGGAACTCTGGAAACCACTGCCTTCAGAGAGTGGGATGTTCCCTGGTCATGGGAAACACATAGTGGCACACTTCAGATAGGGCCCTCAGAGGAGGGGCCTGAAACATGAGAAGGTGCCAGCCATGAAAGGATCTGGGGGAAGAGCAGTCTGGGAAGAATCAGCAGTATGTGCAAAGATCTGGAGGTGGAGAAAGGAAGCTGGAGCAACTGCTGTGAGGGGGCCAGGGAGTGAGGCAAGAACCTTGTGGGCAACTAGGAGGAGGGCAGATTTTTTCCCTAAGTGCAATGGGCATCATGAGATCCACCCCGGTTTAGAAAGACCATGGGCTGCTCCAAGAAGCCCCACCTGGGCCATACTGGGTCGCAGCAGCTTTCTTTGATAAACTAAGAAAGCAAAAAGGTCAGGGCTGGGTTCTTCCTGAGTCACCAGATGCCTCGTGCCTGCCCTCCTCAGTGGAGCAGGAGGAAGGCTTGGGTCAAGGTTTAGCCACTGTGCAAGGAGTAGGCTCATGGCTTCCTCTGACTCATCATTAGGGTTTAGGATGGATACTGTTACTGCTGGGGTGAAAGATGAATGAGGGTGAATAGGCCAGCTCTGGTACCTCACCTCTGCCCTGGGGGAATGGCCCCTTTTCATGACCTGATAACAACCCCCCCCCCGCCAAATCTTGTCCTCTTTCTGTGCCCGGAAACCAGCTTCATGCAGGCATATGGAAGTGATCAGGATAACCAGCATTTTTTTAGTGCTTATGAGCTAGGCACTTGCTTTGTGTTAATTTCATTTAAACCTTACAAAACCCAGTGCAGAGAAGTAAGCTGAGCTCTGCTCTCAGACCTGAGTTCTAGTTCTGGGTCTGGTGCTTAAATTACTATGGCAGTTGCCATCTGTGCACCCTGTCTTCATTTCTCCATTTCTGTAGAATGCCCAGTCCTGCACTTGACTCCCAGAAGCTGCAGTCTCAGTTAATGCCAGGGACAGAAAAAGGACTTCAAATCAACTTCAGCAAAAAAAGAGGGTAAGTTATTGGCTGACATGACAACTGAAAAGGCAGGGGTGTCTTATCTTTGGGCATGGCTGGATCTAGGAGCTCAGATAGGATCTCTCTCTCTCTTTGCCTCTTTTTTCCTGTTCACTCTCTTGGCCCATCTCTCTTCAAGTAGTGACCTCTGGCACTGAAGGCTTGTGTTACCCTTCAAGTCAGCCACCCAGGCAAAGACAGTGCTTCTCTCCAACACACTGCTGATTCTTCCCAGGCTGCTCTTCCGCCAGATTCTTTCATAGCTGGCACCTTCTCATCTTTCAGGCCCCTTTGAGAGACCTTCCTTGAGGGTCCTTAAAATGTGCCACTGTGTGTGTCATGACCAGGAATATCCCACTCTCTGAAGGCAGCTGTTTTCAGGGTTCTGTCTGTCCCCCTGAGCTGAGGTCAAAAACTGAAAGTGTATTCAAGCAAAAATTCTAGAATTGCATTTCATTGGGCAAGTTGGGCCACATGCCTTCCCTGAACCAATGGTGATGGTCACAGCAATGGGCTCTGCTGATTGTCCAAGCCTTCCAACTTGAGAAGAGGTGTTTGCAGGGAAAAGGAGTTGGTGAGACCAGGTCCCTCCACATTTCTTGGATTGAAGATCAGAATGAGTGTTCTCTGTAGGGCAGTTGGTTGTTGCTACCCAAAAGGGGGGCAGATGCTTGTTAGGCAAAGACACTAAAGTCCATAAAGGTTCTCAAAACCATATGAACCATAAGACTAAAATAGAGCAGTGGCAGTGCTCAGGACACTGCAAATTCAAATCTATGTATGTATATATACACTTGATATGAAAATTTAAACCAACAGTTGGAAAGTGGGACTAAAAGTATATTTGGAAAAAGTTGTTGTCCCTTTATGATCTCCCCCTCAGCCATCCCTGGCCCTAGTAAAAAGTGTATTTTTTTGTGCAATTACAGCTGCCCCGCACCCCCCGGCTGCCCCTCCTGACTTCTCCCTGTCCATGCCGCAGAATCCCTAGGGTATCCTAAATATAAACCTTTGATATCCGTGGTTGGGATCCCTCTGCTTAGGAAGGAACTGCTGGATATTAGAACACCTTTTGCTTCCCTGGGTCATCTCTTTGTCATCTGGGAGACTCTACTATTCCATTCACTTCTGGGTCTGAGTGGGATTTCTGGACCTTTCCTTTAGTACCCCAATGGCAAAAATTAGGATCCTTGAGCAAGGCTGGGCTGGAGAAATTCACAGAGAGGAGGCTGAAGCTCTGTAGTTCTGGTTCTTTGGGCTTGACGATCCAGGGAATAGGAACTGATACAATGTGAGGTCACAGGGAAAGAGAGGTATTGAGGATGATGCTCAGGTTTTTGGGCTCGGGCTGCTCACAAGAGTCAAGCATCAGCACAAATGCTTCCCTTCCTTGATGGTGCTGGTGGTGGGAACTTTCCTCCCTAACATTCCCACTCTCCTACCAGCCCATCATCGAATTCTTTTTAAAATTAAAGAAAAATTTAAATTTATTTTCCAATTACAGGGGACATATAATACTATAAACTTCAGGTGTACAACATAGTGATTAGACATTTATATACCTTATGAAGTGTTCATCCTGATAAGTCTACAATCCACCTGACACCATATAGTTATTACAGTAGTATAGACTATATTTCCTACGCTGTACTTTACAACCCCCTATTTTTATAACTGGCAATTTGTACTTAATTACTTTCACATTTTCCACCCAGCCCTCCCCCCCCATCCTCCTCCCATCACTGAATTATTTTCCCCCGTCACATTTATCTGCATCTGAAACGTGGAGTCATCTGTTCATGGATTGTCTGACCCCTCCCCAGTGTGCACCCCGTGAGGGCAGGGACCGCGTCTACCTGGCATATTGGCTCTCAATAAATGCTCATTCGATCAATGAATGCGGGGATGAGCAACGTCCTGGACTAATTGCAAAGCTGAACTGGCCTGAGCTAACGCTCAGACTCACGGTGCTCCCTGTCCTTGGACGGTCTGGCCCCATCGCTGTAAACTGAAGGGGTTTGGCTCTGCCTGGCTCCCTCTTGGAGGACACAGAGCCGGGCCTGTCTTTGGACCTTGCTCGACAGCCAGCAGCCGCTGTCCAGCGGGCCAGGAGGAGGCACACTGCGCCTGCGCCGAAATTTCCTTTCGTTTCCCCCTTCGGGCCCGACTGCGCGGGCGGGGCGCGCGCATGCGCTGTCACCCCCGCGTCGTGCGCCTCTCCTGTGCGCCTGCGTCACTCTCCCGACCACCGCCGCGCCTGCGCGCCGCGCGCCGCCCGCGGGCCTGGCTGGCGCCTGCGTGGTGGCACTGGCAAGTGGGGGGGGCGTGAGGAGGTGGAGGAGGAGGAGGAGGAGGTGGCGACGAGAAGATGGCGACTTCGAACAATCCGCGGAAATTTAGCGAGAAGATCGCGCTGCACAACCAGAAGCAGGCAGAGGAGACGGCGGCCTTCGAGGAGGTCATGAAGGACCTGAGCCTGACGCGGGCCGCGCGGGTGAGGGGGTGCCGCGCCCACCCCTCAGGGCCAAGAGGGAGGAGGAGAAGGCGCGTGTCCAGCGCGTGCACGGGGCGGGGGCGCGCGGCGGGGGCGGGGCGCGCGGCGGGGCGGGGCTTGGCCCGGCTAGAGGGGACAGGTGTCCCCACTCTATGGGCGTCGTGGGCGGAATTGGTGCCCTACAGCATCGGTACCTGATGGCGGACAGGTACCTTCACATCATTGCTACATGGAAGGCAGGAGTCTCCATGTCATTAATACATCGTTACCTAATGGGGAACAGTTGTCCTAACATCATTGCTATCTGGTGGAGAAAGGTGCCCCCGCATCATTGCCACCCGGACCGGGGCGGGGGAAGGACAGGTGTCCTCCCATCATTGTTACCTTGGAGGAGCAGGGACCTCTATATCATTACCACCTAGAGGTAGCAGGTGCCACAACATTGTAACCTAACAGTGACAGGTGTTTCCACATCATTGATACCTGAGGGGGACAGGTGGCCCTATGTTACTGTTACCTAGAGGAGACAGGATGACACTGAGGTGTATGAACTGGGCGTTGCTTGAAAACATCACTGGTACCTGGGGGTGCGTGATAGGTGTTCTCACATCATTGCTACCCGAGGGGACAAGTGACCCCACGTACTGCTACCTGAAGGGACAGGTGTCTACATCATTGGTGCTTGTGCCTCATTTTCTGGGTGTTGGCAGAAGGACATGTGTCCCCACTTGCAGACTTGAGGTGGAATAGACCTTTTGGAAACCGGAGGGCAAGGTCAGATGCGCTCCCCTGTGGGGCCCTGAGTGGGTCAGGAAGGCAGATGTTCTCGGTCCTGGAGCTTCGAGTGGAGACAGCTGCCTCTTCCCCGTGTAGCCTATATGGTGGGGACCAGGTGATGTTCCTTTCACTGGCACAAAGGAACAGGGTGGCCCTTGGCCACTTAGGAACAAGGTGCAGGGACAGGTTTCCTCAGGTGGTTGGCTGGGTCCAGTGTGCAGAGGCAGGCTTGGTTACCTGATGATCTCACCTGGGAAGCTGCTGTGGCCCTGGAGCATGGGCTCGGTTGGGGCTGGTGTTGGGCCTGGCTTTTTTCCTGGGCCTCAGCTCTCGGGCTGTGTGATCATGGCAAAGTGCTGAGCTCCTTGGGCCTTGTCTTTCTTTGACGTGTGTCTAGAATGAAGTGTGTCTAGCAGGTCCTTCCTTGTGGATCAGGAGGCAAGCACGCTTTGCACAGGTGTTGGTAATGTCCTCTGTGTTCCTGCAGAGCAGTGGGACCCCCATCCTGCACCTTGAGGCCTCAGAGCCCTCATTGCTGCTCTCTGGATTTGGCTACTGATTTGACCATCCCAAGCAGAACTACCTCTGTGACTTCAGCTTCAGTCTGATTTTTCAGGTGGAATTTTCAGGTCATGTTATTTTTTAATTAGTTGTCTGTTTCTCTGTGAGATCGTGACCTTATAGACTAGAATGTGTCTTCATTTCTGTTCATTTATTTGGCATACATTGGTCAGGTCCGTACTGTCAGTCAGGTGCTGCCTGTCCTGCTCCAGCAGCTCATGTTCTTACTCATGACATAGAGGAAGAGATAATTGGTGAATGAATGAATGAAAGTGAGCAACTGGAGTGACACCGTAAGTCAGGGCTTCTGAGGGCAGGAGTGCCCATGTCATCTTGTCTCCAGCATGTGCTGTGTGCTAGCACACAATTGGTGTCAAAATTATGTAGGGAAGAAGGGAATTGCGTGAAGTTCATGGCTGTCTTCATGATTGGAGGTCCTGTTTCTGCCTTGGGGTTGGGAATGGATTATTGTTGTTGAAAAGGTTTCTTTAACAGCCTGTTTGTACACTTGTACACTTGTTTAAAGTGTACAATTCAGTGGTTTTTAGTGTATTTACAGAGTTGTACAACCATTACCACTGTCAAATTCTGAAACATTTTCATTTCCCCCAAAAGAAACCTGGTACTAATGAGCAGTCAGTCCCTGTTCCACGCTCCCCCACCTCTTGGCAACCACCAATCTGCTTTCTATCTCTATGGATTTACCTATTCTGGACATTTCATGTAAGTGGATCACATGCTATGTGACATTTTGTGATTGCCTTCTTTCACTTAGCATGATGTTTTTAAGGTTCATCCATATCGAAGAATGAATCAGAAGACTGTTCTTTTTTATGACTGAATAATATTCCATTGTATGATGGGCCACATTTGGTTTATACATTCATCCATTAATAGATTTAGAAAAGAGTTTTAAGATACAGAGATAGCATTTCTCTCAGCCCTGGTAACCATTTCCCATCTCCTCCCTCCCTCTCTCTGTTGCCTTCCTTTACTTCAGGATTTGGGGAGGTAGGGAGGGCATGGTCTCTGGGGAGAGATGAGCTTACATTGGCTTTTAGATACAGAGCAGTATTCTCTGCTGGAGACAATTCTGCCCCTCAAGGGGCAGATGGCAGTGACTGGAGACATTTTTGGTTTCATGACTGGGAGTGGGGGTGCTACTGGCATCTGGTGTGTGGAGAAGAGGGATGCTGCTTACTACCCCGTGGGTGGACCTTACCACAGAGAGTGAGTGACCTGGCCCTAGATGTCAGCAGTGCAGAGGCCCAAAAACCTTCATTTTGGAGGGAACGCTGAGTGGGCAGGGGGGCAACCCTTGTACCTGGGCAGATAGAGTTCAACGCTCTGCCCCTACTCTCTTGGTTCTGCCTCCTGGGCAGGCTGATAGCTTTTCTCTTACCTAGGACCAGAAGGGACAAGCTTGTTCCCAAACTGTTTGGCCATTGCCTGTGGCAAGTGGCATATCTGCAGTGTCTGGTGCAGATGAGTGAACCCACTTAATGCAGGCCCCCCCCTTGCCCTCGCTCTGTGGCCGCAGCCTTCCCTTGCTGCCTCCCTCTGCAGTACACACTAGGGTTTCACCTGCACATGCTAACAGATGGGGCAAGGCCCTGTTGGTAGCCGCTCTTCTCCGGTGAATTCTGCAGGACAGCTTGCCCACTGCTGGAGTGAGCAGGTCCACTTGTGTTTCTGTGTGTCTGCTCACAGTCCACATTAGTGGTGGACATGCTCACAGTGCTTTCCCATGTGAAAGGCCGTTCAGCATGATGAGTAAATCAACTCTGCCACCTTCCTGAGAAGCAGGGACATGAGGGCCAGGTTGGGTGGGGGGACAGGGTGTGATGTCAAGGAGACCACTTTCATGGTGGTGGTGTGCAAGTGTTTCTTTACCATTTTCAGACTTGGGTAGCATGATATGCAGGGAGGGGCTATGGTGCTCTGCTGTGTGACTTTGAGCAGGTTTTTTAACTCTTTGAATCCTGACCTATAGAGTTGGGGTAGCTTATTCGTTCCACATAATAACATCTTTTTAAAAGATTTTATTTATTTATTTATTTTCAGAGAGAGAGAGAGAGAAGGGAGAGAGAAAGAGAGAGAGAGAGAAACATTAGTTGGTTCTCCTCTTGTTCACCCCCACACGGGACCTGGCCTGCAACCCAGGCATGTGCCCTGACAGGGAATTGAACTGGCAAGCTTTTGGTTCACAGGCCAGCACTCAATCCACTGAGCTACACCAGCTAATAACATTTTTGATTGTCCAGCATGTACCAAGTATTATGTTGGGTGCAATAATGCAGCATACAGAACATACAAGGGCTGTGCTTTTGAGAAGCTGGTATGGTTTTAACAGGAGAGAATTGCTGCAAATGAATGAAGCACAAGCTCTCAGAAGAAGCAGGGTGATGTGACCTGGCTGGTTGTGGGGGCTAACAGCTGTACAGTGAGACAGAGCCCCCCATGCCAGGCAAGAGTACCCCAGATGTGGGACAGGCAGATGCAGGGCCCTGAGGTAGGGAGGACCTGACAGAGTTGAGGACAGGTCAGAGGCCAGAGAGGCTGGCTTGAGGAGAGAGTGTGAGAGGTAAAGCTGGAGTGGTTTTGGGAACCCCGGATTCCACCGGAGAGGGCTGTGATGATGAGAAGCCTGAGCTGCTGCTTTTGTAACAGCCGTATTGAGATATAATTCCCAATACATTCAACCCACCCATTTAAAGTGTACAATTCAATGGTGTTTTTAGCACATTTACCACATTGTGCAACCATTACATCTGTCTAGTTCCAGAACATTTGTCACCCCAAAAGGAAACCATATCCCCATTAGTAGTCACTCCTCACTATCCCAGCCTCTGGCAACCATTAATCTGCTTTCTGTCTCTATGGATTTGCCTGTTCTGAATATTTCATATCAATGGAATTATACACCATGTAGGCTTTTGTGTCTGGCTTCTTTTACTTGACATGGTGTTTCAAGGTTCATTCACATTGTGTCACGTGTCAGTATTTTAGTCCTTTTTATGGCTGAGCAATATTCCATTGTGTGGATGGACCACATTTTGTTTATCCTTTGTCAACAGACGTGTGTTATTTCCACCATTTGGCCATTGTGAGTAGCACTGCTGTGGAAATTCATATCCAAGTGCTCATGTAGATGCAAGTCTTCCTTTCCCTTGGGTGTACACCTAGGGGTGGAGTTGCTGGGCCCTGTGGTAATTCTCTGTTTAACTATTTGAGGGTGCTTTCTGTCTGCAAAGATGAGTGTGAGTTGAACTGGCAAGGGGGAAGGCAGCAGACAGTGAGAGGCCACTGCAGCATCTAGTTTGGGGAGTGGGGGGTGTAGCTTGAACAGAATCAGTGGATTTTGGTGGTATTTCAGCATCAGAGCCAGCGGGATGTGTGGATATATTGCATGTGGGGTGTGTTGCCCTCTTGTCAGGGGCTTTGGACACAGGAAGTTCTCAGCATCCCAGGGAGCAGACCTAGGCCAGAAAAAGCCCGTGAGCAAAGCAGTCCACGTGGCTTGGCTTGGCTGCAGCTCTGGCTGCATTGAAGGAGCGGGGGTGTTCTGACCCTACTCTGTGACAGGGGTAGCTCTGCACAGGCTTGGGGAAAGGGCAGGGGTTGCTCAGGGGAGCTGAACGTAGAGGCTGCCCCCAGTCCTG